GTCGAAGGCTCTCGGCTTTCCTTACCAGACCTTTCAAGAGAATCAGCTGACGCAGCCACGCCGTGGACAAACTGAACTTTGCTGGTGAAAATAGGCACATGCTCATCTATGCGCGTTGCATAAAACCTGGCCTCCTCAGCGCAATCAATCCGAAGCTTAGACAAGTCATGCACGAAGAAAGGAAGGGAACCAGGTAACCATATAAAGGCCTTCCCGGATTCAACATCCAAACCGGTGCTCCGAACAACTGGACAGTTGTCCAACATGTAGTGGTTGGCGAGAGGCATATTGTCGGACGCAAATCCCAAACTCTGAGAGCCAGGCTGAGGTCCACCACCTGTGTGGAACGTAACAGGGCTCGCTGAGTGCGCAAGAAAGGACCTGTACGACTCCGACGGAATTCCCTGGTCTGCCAGCGCTCGCGCCGATCCAAGATGCCGACCAGCAGCTGTGTCGGCAGCCCATTCAACGCTGAAAGCGTTGCTCCCAGGAATGTTGCACATGCTTGAGGCAGCCATCATTGCTACGACTGCTTTTGCAACAGCTCCTGGGGACTTGGGCTTGGAAGCGGCGGCCTTAGGCTTAGACTTAGGGTCAACCTTAGGGGTCTTATCAGGTGCGTGGCTGTACTTGCAATTCTCTCCATGCATGCAACCAGACGACATTCTGAAGAAAATGCAAGGTGTCTTGGCTTTTTCTGCATCTGACATGCCTTTTGCCTTCGCTTTAGCTTTTGTCTTAGGTTTGGGGCTTGGTGCGGGATTTGCAGGGACTGGAGCCTTCGGTGGAGGTCCAGTGGACACTGGGGCAGGAGTCTTGGCCTTTGGGGAACTCCGGGATGCCTCCTTAGTCTCTGCAGGAACTCCCTTTGACTTTGCCTGCGGAGCGGCAATTTGCAAAGACTTCATCACTGAGTGAGAGTTTGCATCTTCTCGCTCTTGAACAAGGATATCTTGTATTTTGTTCCATAAGTAATCCCACTCACGACGACGGGATTCTGGCGCAGATTCTCTGATATCCTCGATGATGCGTTCCAACTTTCGAATATGCTTCACCCGGTGGAAAAGCCATTCACCAGTGAGGCGATCATCTGGCCTCTGTCCGACCGGTATGGCATACAGAACAGTCCTTACGCGTTGCACAAAGTCTCGGAGATCTCGCATGGAGTTTCCCCCGATTTCAACCTGGAACAACGTCGAAGCAGTCAGCACAGTACCTCGAACACGGTCGATGCTGAAATGACGAGCAAGAAGGGCAAGCATGTATCGACCTTTCGGCTGGGACCGTGCTTGGTCGCACAACTCAACATAGGCAATTACCTCTTGCTCCAACTCAGTCACTTGCTTCAACACACGCAAGGAAGTCATCTCTCCAGCAATCCAAGCGTCAAGGCGAGGGAGAAAACCAGACTCAGTAAGGTCTTCTTTTTCAGCTGTGAAAGACTGAGACAGCCATTCAACGACCAAACCTTCTCCTGACATATCAAGCTTGGCAATTTGGACCAACAACGCGTTTTTCCAGGCTCGGAAACCAGCAGCGTCGGAAGGAACAGGTTCAAGCTTGAGATGCAACAAAGCTCGGTTGTCAACAATGTGCTTCTCTTGCCTCTCAGGCTCTTCGTTCTCATGAACAGGAGATGCATCATTGCATCCTTGATCCGTGCCATTTCTTTGGGCAAGCAGTTGCTGGACGACATCAATCAACTGATCAACACGAGGGTCAGTAACGGTTGCAGGAGGGCAAGGGGGCGACTCATTGACAACTTGCGGCAATGAAGGTGCACCATTATTGTCCCCATCCGAACCGATATGTACCCAACTAGAACCACCTGAACAGGCACTTGGTGCAATTGCAGATGGCACATCTTGCTGGCGAGGTGCAGGCTTTGGAGGTGAAGACCCAGGACTCGTGGCGCTTAAAGCAGCCTGACGAAGTCTCTGAATCTCACGGTCTTTGACTTGCAACTCAACACGTAGCTGGGTGTTTTGGAAGTTCAGCAAGTTGTTATCACCCCGGCAGCTGGTTAGGGCGGCTTCAAGCTCTTGGTACCCTGCACGAGCAACCTGAAGTTCAGCTTCGACTTTGCTTAGCTCAGCCTTAGCTACGGATAGCTGTTCTTCCAAGATTCGACCCTGTTGAAGGATCTCATCATAACGATGTTCGTATTGTTGCAACTGCTCACGCATTTGCTCAGCGGTGGCTTCAACCAAACCTCTAGCCTCATTCTCTACCTGCTCTAGCCTTACAGCATGTAGCTGCTCAGCATGATCAGCCACTTGCTGCGCTGCTTGGGCTGCAGCCAAACGTTGGGCATCCAGGACTTCTTGTGGGGACGCTCCTACGTTCAGGATGTTCTGCGTGTATGAGGCTTGAGCGGTTAGATTCGGGTAAGGTTCTGAGTGCTCACGAGTTCTGCGAGGTCCCGACAAAGCCCGTCTAGTCAGAGGAGGGGACCTTTCACGGAGCTCAACTGCAGAACTACTCGTAACCGAACCACTATCTGAACCGATACCACCCGGCAATGCCATGGCTGAGGCACTCGATAGATCAAGTACCGAACTAGCTTGGTTGCTAGGGTCTGAGGGGGAAGACATTGCCATGAGAGGTGGAAGCGCTTAGCAGCAGCTCAACGCACCCTTTCTTTTGGCAGAAGAGGCGAGGCTCACGGTTGGATCTGCAATCCCCTCAATGTCGCCAGAGGAGGCGCTCAGCGCCGGACAACTGGACGAACAGCCCCAGACCTTTAGGCGTCCGGAAACCACTTCCGCACCTGACCTTTGATAGCGTCAGTACACTCCGGAAAGCTGTCAAAGGAAGGCACGGGAGCACGCGGAAAAATAGTGCGCTGTCCACGACTCCCCTTGGATCTCTTCGGAATGGCAATATGCAGAGGAATCACGTGCTCAGAGCCCGCCAACTCGTCACAGACATCCGCAGAGTCGTCGACGTGAATGATGGGGAGCTCAACCTCCTTTGCCAGATGTTCCAGCACTGCACGCTTCCCCAACGGACCAGTGGCCTTCCTCGTAATGAAAATGAGGCAAATAGGCGATTCCCCGATCTGCGTGAAAAGCGTATCACAGGAATTCACTGTCGTCTCAACCACGTGCCTTTTAGTGTCCTCGTGATGACAGTAACTGCAGACGAAGAATAAGCCCCCGTAGCGCGGAATCAACGAATGAAGATCGCGCAAGGCTGCCACACACTCTGAAGGAAACTCGGGCCTAGGATCCGTCCAGCTTGTCGACTTCTTGTGATATCGATCCAACACTCCGTGAAAATCCAAGCTCAAACCAAAGGAGAATCTCTCGAAAGCAGGTTCCGTAAGCTTCACCTTAACTCCCTCAAAGTCCAGCACCTCTGTCTTCAGGGGACGGAAGTCAATCACACGAGGATTTCCTGTCACCTGAGGTGGCGGAGGATGCGAAGGTTCCGGCACACGATGCAGCACCTGAGCCGATGGAGGATGCGAAGGTTCCGGCACACGAGGCGGAGCCTTCGGTGGAGTCTTTGGAACCGGAATGCCTGATGACAAACTTCGAGGCGGAGCTTTCGGTGGAGTCTTCGGAGCCGGAATGTCTGATGACAATGAAGCCGATGGAGTTAACAAAGGCTTTGGAGCCGGCAAAGGCCTCTGAGTTGAAGAGCTTGATGACGAAGAAGCGGGTGGAGGTGATGGAGCCGTGGTCTTCGCCTTCAGAACAACAGTTGAAGGATGAAGTCGATGAAACGGACGAACTGGCGTAGAAGGCGGCGGAGTCTCCGGGGCCTGATCGTCAATAACGATCACTTCTGACTGCTCTTCCACAGCCTGAAAGGGAGCCGTCCTCGGACGGCGCACTACGGATCTTGTAGATCCGTCAGGGCGACGGAAGGGAACTTCGGATGGATCAGCGAAGATGCCCAAGTCCTGATCGCGCAGAAAGATATATATTTGATATGCTTTCCGCTTCCTCTGGGCTGCGGCGCCCCCTCGAGTGCCTCTCACACCGAGAGGCCTTGGAATGCGCTCTTCCTCACGAGGAGGGTTGCAGTCCATGGGTCCTCAATCCTAGACCCTGAAATCTACAGAACAAACAGAGCGATACGGAGCTGATAACCAGTTGAACAGGTTAGAACCTGGCCTAAGCCTGAAAGGGGAAGGACCAGGCACAACCAAAAGAAGGGTTCAGGGACCCTCAAAGCCCTCAACCCTGCGTGCAAGCCGCACCTCATGCGGCCTTTTTACTTGAGCCAAAAATGTGGTCAGAAGGTAAGTCATCCTAGTCTGCACAACATGACTATACATGCTTTACAATAGAGGAAGGAAGCTCGTGATTCTTCAACTATGATCGGGGGAATTAAATAATCCGAACGTATAAACTGGTATGAGTAGCCCATTCAACAAATGCGCTTATTTGTAAACTAGTGCACGAAACTCGCGATTTTAAGGAGGTTTCGCTTTTTTGGCACTTAGTATTTGTACTAGTACGCAGGGCAAAAACTAGAAAAAGTACAGGCCCGACAGGCTCGCAGAGCGGCGAGGCTTTCGGCAAGGGAGGCCGGGTAACAAACCGACGTGCGAACACACACGGGAACAGGCCAGGTGATGGGAAGTCGATGCAATGGACACGACCAGCGCCGGTTGCAGAAGAACAGCGGGCGAACATGCTCAACACCAAATGGGGCGGTGAAGAACATGACCAGCGGGTCTAGCCAGAGCAGGCTGGAGGAGAGATATGCGTGCATGATCTAATCTCCGCGTTCTGTTTCTGGAGTGGACTCCGGAAGCAGACACACACGTGTAGTGAACGGTGGTTCTCCATGGTTATCATCTATCTCTCAAGGTCACAAGCAAAGAGCTGGATAACTTCAACATTGCCAGAACGTCTTGACACAGAGCAGGTTCATACACAGGTCTGCCCAATGATGTATGCAAATGACGCGACACTTCAAGAGCATCTCTGTCAAGTACGTGTTTCATGTGTTTCGAGAGACACAACGTAATATAGCCTCGAATCAAAGGCGGCTTCCTCGTCCCATGAGGCGGCGATGGTCAGCCCGGATGGCCAGGCCTGAAGTTCCGTGGACCGGCGGGTTTTCTCTCACCAGAAGTTCCGTTCCGACTCTGCCGTTTCCAGGCAAAAAGAGCTTCAGCTGCTTAAGCTTGGGCGGTACATTGTATGTGGAACCCAAGTTTGAAACACACAAGGCCTAAAGTCCAATACTGCATGAGACACAGACAGTTGCAACACTGGGTTCGGAGCCTGCAGGTAATTGTTGCCCAAGCGCTACCCAGAATTCCCCAACAATGCCGTCGCAAACAACTTTGAAACACTGCAGACAGCTCTAAGACTCTAAGCTACTCATGCTGCAAGCTTTCCACTTCCTCTCTCCATTTTGTAGCATCGGGCAGCTGAGCCACCGTAGAAGTGCCAGCCAAGCTGGTTGGTGCGCGGAATCCTTGTGGCCCATCGTTCCTTTGGCGTGCTCTTTCAAAAACCAATGAACCATTCAAGAAGGCTTCAAGGCTCAGGCAGGGAAGAACTGCTAGTGATGCATCGAACATGATCGGTAAGAAGACAAACCAGGTGTGGCCCCTCATGCCCCACGCACCAAAAATATGGTTTACTCAGCTTGGACCTGACAGAATCGATGGGACTCCATATTACTGGCTGTTCATGGGCATGCTCCTGCTGGTGCAACCGTTCTGCTGAAATGCAAACCATCTGCAGAGCACAGCACCACTATCAAAAAAAGGTTCAAATTCTTGCAACGGCCCCCTTCTCATCCGGAGATGGGGTATTGGGCTGAAAGATGAAGATGAAAACAAAGAGCGGCAACTCTCTTTTTCACAACACAACGCACAAGATGAGAGCAAAAAGCGCAGCGGAACGCAGCGGAACGCAACGGAGCGTCATGTTCACGGGCGGAATCCCGAGGCGCTCCACCGGAGCAATGTTTCCGACCTTGGCCAAGATCTCGAACCTCACTATACCTCAAAAAACCTCATTGGACCTCGTTACACCTCATAAAACCTCACTATACCTCATTGTACCTCTCAGTCTACCTCCTTACACTTCATTCTCACATCTTAGACGAGGTGTTTATGCGCAATGGTTTTTCGTTACGCCCTTCAGCACTTTCTCTCTGTTCCACCTTCATGCAGAAAAGCTGCATAGGCACATCGAGGACTGTCCATGCACTCGGCGCGTCCATCTTGTGGACCGTGCAGCATCAACAGTTTCTCGGTCAACGTCATATTCGCGACCAGCCTGAATACACAATCATCAGGCCGCTCCTAGATACATCTACCTCACTGTAAGCGGACCTCATGCAATGTCGTGCGCTACTTTGATCATCAGAAGGCCTTTTAAACTCAATTCTATAACCTACAGCTGACCTACAGCTGCTTGACGACGAGGGCTTGACGACAAAGGCTTGAACGTCCCATGACTGATTTTGCATGTGGCTACCCATTGGCCCCTTTTCAGCCGATTTTGGTTTCGACTCAGCTATACTTTCATGAGCTAATGGCGGAGGGACCCGCCCAAAAAGCCAGGTCATCCCAGGTTGTTGATAGCAGTGAATCCGTGCATGGGCAGTCTGTTTTTCAGGGGTGGTGGCTCCAAGGTTTACCGGATAAATCACAGAGCGTCACGGACTTACACGGGATGCACATGGGACCTCGATGATTTGTCCTTAATATCTATCAGCCCCCAATTTGGAAGCAATACACCGGAACAAAACGACAAATAATGAAAACCTCAGCTCGCTGGGACCATGCTTAGTGAAAACACGTTTGTCCAACGCTAATTCGAGGATTCAAAGGCATTCTTTCGGCATGGCAGCATTGTCGATGTCGAATCGAACATATTTGTGGGCCCCCTCCACCACATTTCCCGCACCCTTGCACCAAACCTCCACACTCTTACAAGTACCATATTCGTCCCAAGCTTCACGGCATGTATGCAGAATCTAATCTCTTTGAGCCCGCTGAAGCATCTACTCTTCCGCAACATCCACCTCCAGCACATCGAATTCCCATTTCGAGAATCCCCGCCTCGTCCCAACGACTCAAATGCAAGGTTGCTTAAACATGTCTTCGTGAACTAGATGACTGGAATGCTTTCGGCACCGAACATCTCAGCTGACCCACAACCACGAGTGCCAATGCGTGTGAGCGTTTGCCGCATGCACTTGTCGAGTGGCAGCGCGTGCAAACGTACAACAGTTCGGGCTTGGGCGAGTGCTGCAATCATAATTATTCTGTATGAAAGCGGAAGAGGAATCTCTGAACAAAACAGCGAGACCCTTGCGCAGACCAGTGAGACGAGCCTTGCACAGCCCATTGAAAGGCCCCACCAAAGCGGGCCCCGCCAACCGTGAAAGCGAAACATGTGCCCTGCAGCACTGACATAAGGTCGAGCCCCTCGCGCAAACGGGCTTGTGCCATACTCTGAATGTCCACCTTTTCTGGGCAATCCTTGAGCTTCGAACCTGTTTTCAACCCACCAGCTGGCCTTGCCAGCACACTTTGCCAGCGAGGGTGTTTTGCAGGGGAAGTAAGAGTTTTTGTGGCTTTGTTGCGGGTCGCGGGCGCGGGGCATGATCTGAATTTGCTGCGGGCGCGGGGGCGCGTTTTTTTGTTTTGCTGCGAGTGCGGGGGCGCGGTTGTTGCTGCACTCGCAAGGGGGGGCGGGTTTCTTTGGTTGCGCGGGGGGGGGATGGGGTCGCATGTGTTGTTGCTGCGGGGGGGAGGGGCACCTTTTGTTTTTTTGTGGGCGAGGAGGCGTGGGGCAGTGTGGACAAGTAAGAAAATCATGTCTTTTCTGCAATTTTGATAAGAAAACGTTTTTTTCATGTCCACAGGCAACATCTATCTCGTGTCTATCACCCTAGGAAGCTACTAGCGTCCATGTTCTGTATACATATGTATACACTGTAACACCTCTACTTCTCTACATGTTAATGTTAGTAGGAAAACCTTTTGCTTCTTGTAGTAAGAAAACTCTGTTTTCTCCACATTTTCATCGTAAAGGCCAAAAGAATAAGCACGAGGAATTAGTTTAACACTTCTTTTGCGATTTGAACGTTATTTTTTTGGGGCTTCCCTGTAAAACAAACAGAGGAACTAAATGTAGAGGAAAATGACGAGGCGAGACTCTTTGAAGCAAGCTCTGCGCAGCTTAACACAACAGCGGGATGGGGGGAGGGGGTTGCACCCCGCATTTGCAAACACAATGCTCGCACGAAGGGTGTGGAAAGGATTCATAGCTGGCATGGCTTGAAAAATTGGCATGGTGTGGGGGAGGCTTGCATGATTGGCTCGGAAAGGATTCATATGCTTTGAAGCAAGCTGCCATGGCTTTAAAAAGTAGGGAGTTGGGGTGGGTGCAGCCCACCCCCCATTTGCAAACCCAATGCTCGCATGATAGGCTTGTTTGGTGAGCGAGTGGGCGAGTAAGTGTGAGTGAGTGAGTGAGTGAGTGCCAGCTGCGTCCTTCGCCACTGTTTTGCCAGCGTCCAGGCGTGGGATTCAAGGCGACAGCTTCGGGCTTGAGGGGATCCAAGAATTCCGGGTTCTTTTGTCATCCGGCAAGCGGGTTTTCAGCGACATCTGTCTGACCAGCGGGGGGCTGATTATCGGCCACAACTGGACCTGTGACGGCGTCAGGACAGAGATCAAGCATGTGTCAGCGAGCTGGGGAGACCTGTCACGGAAGACTTATCAGAGGAAACAGTGGAAGTTTGAAGGGCTACAGGAGGCAGAACTGCGACAGCGACATTTCTATTGCTGCAGGAGTATGCGTCGACTCCCGCGGCCTATCGACAGAGAAGTCACATCTTGAATGAATGCGACGCGCATTCAAAGTCAACGCAGCAGCTCACGGCGGACAGCTTCCCAATCCGAGTTGCGCAGTTCTATCATGCTTCTCAACCCGACGCCTCAAGCGCTGCGCCTGCCAGGGCAAACGACACCTGTGTCGCGCCTGCCAAATGCGAAGCGAGCCCCCCATGCGCGTGCTGGGGCCCCCAACCTGCCTGTGTCGCGCCAACGCGAAGCGAGCACACCTGTGTCGCGCCTGCCAACGCGAAGCCAGCCCCCCACACGCGCACGGGCCCGGTCCAGGGCCGCAAGTGCTGTAACTGCCAGCACACAAACGACACCTGTGTCGCACCTGCCAACGCGAAGCGAGCCCCCCGCGTGCACGCGTGCGCGCGGGATAGGTCCGGGACCCCCAAGTGCTGCGCCTGCGCAACCGACACCTGTGTCGCCCGAAGCGAGCATCCCACGCGCGGGCGGGCCCGGTCCGGAGCCCAAGAGCTGCGCCTGCCAGCGCAAACGACACTTGCATCGCGCCTGTCAACGCGAAGCGAGCCCAAGGGTCCGCGGCCTAAAGCGCTGCGCCTGCCAGCACAAACGACACCTTGTCGCGCCTGCCAACGCGAAACGAGCCCCCCCCACGTGCGCACGGGCCCGGTGTGTGGCCCGCAAGCGCTGCGCCTGCCAGCACAAACTCGCGCCTGCCCACGCGCGCGTGGCCGGTCCCGGGCCCCAAACGCTGCGCCTGCCAGCACAAACGACACCTGTGTCGCGCCTGCCAACGCGAAGGGAGCTGCGCGGGCCCGGCCCCGGGCCCCCCAAGTGCTGCGCCTGCCAGCACAAACGACACCTGTGTCGCGGCGCCTGCCAGCACAAACGACACCTGCGTCGCGCCCGCCAACGCCAAGCTCGGTGTAATTGAATGGCACGTCTCCGCGTGTGAGTGAATGGTGTGTGAGTGAGTAACTGAATAGTTGAGTGAGTCATGGTGCATGAGTGAGTCAGTGAAGGTGAGTTGAGTGAATCAGTGAATGGTGCGTGGTGAGTGAGTGAGTGAGTCAGTGAACGCTGCGTTGAGTGAATCAGTGAATGGTGCGTGAGGAAGTCAGTGAATGTGCGTAAGTGATGGAGTCAGTGAATGTGTGTAAGTGATGAATGGTGCTGGCGCGCGAGCGAGTCAATGAACGTGTGTAAGTGATGAAGTCGAGTGAGTCTGTGAATAGTGTGTGGAGGAGGAGGGAGGGCGGAGGAGGAGGAGGAGGAGGAAGAGGAGGGCGGAGGAGAAGGAGGAGGAGAAGGCGGGACAGCCCAAAAAGTAAGAACCCCACACAAAGATGTGAGGAAAAACAGTTCGGTACACCTGAATCTCCCTGCAAGGCAACATGTCGGTACAGTTGCCCACCTGAGCCTCCCTGGCCTGCTTCTTCAGGTTACATTTTGTCCGGAATATTGCATTGCCCGGGAGCTGTACTGCCTGCTGTCCTGAGCACGTCGCGTCACATGATGCAAGCCACTGTGTCCTGAAAATCTGCCAACCCCACTTGTCGGGTGGGGAAACTGATTCACTTTATCGTGCCTGCCGAACTTGCTCTATGGAAGCTGTGTTCAAGGCATAAACAATTTCAATCGGGCGCAGGAATTACTGGAAAACAACTGCGTATGTTTGGGGAAGTGGTGAACTGCCTACTTCAAAACCAAAACTGTTGTTTGCAGCACATCGCACGCGACTGAGTCATAGGCATTTGCGCTCGTTCGTGAGGGCTGCGAGATGGATCTGACCATGGACCCTGGGTGAGCCCAGCGACCTGCTCCAAAAATTCTTGGCGTGGATTCTGACACTCTAACCTTCCTGGATTGCAGTCTTTATAACATTTGCACACCCCTGACGCACTTGCGACTGCTTCGTTGCAATACCATGCAATACCGGTGCACAAGACAAGCTGTGAACAAACCCGTGTTTGAGACACCCCTCAATAAAGGCGAACGGAAGTCGAACTAAGGGGCCTACAGCGGGCTGCAGAACCCCAACGATTCCCGGAAATCTTCAAGACCGACAATGCTCTGGGTGTGTGGGCGGCTTGGGACCGGGCTGGGCTGTTCCTGACGATGTGACGGCATTTGTATCCGATTTGCCGTTTCGGATATGAGGTCTTTTAAGCGCTTTGTGCTTTTAGGGGGTTTAGGGTTGAAGTGCTAACACAGATGCGCCCTGGCACATGGACATGGAGGGAACCATCGCGAGAGCTCCATGCAGCCCCCACTTTCGTGAAAAGTTGCCTCGATCCCGATCCAAGAAAGCGTCAACCAGATGCGCACCACAGTTGTCATCCATGGCATGGTTGCAGGCTGCTGTGCCCCCAGCATGGCTGCCATGCAGAGAACAAATGGTTGTGTAGACATAGCATACACAGCAGCTTGTAGACGTAAGCATGCAC